CAGTTTACAGTCCGTGCTTTGCCCTAATTAGCTCTGTGTCTTAAGCAAGTCCTTTTTGCCTGTTTGAGCCTCAGTGTTTTGTATCTCTAAAATGTAACATCAAAAATAGATTCTAATATCCAATCCAGCATATACCTAATTAATTGAGTTATAAATCTTGAATTAGAGAAAATAAAAATTACAAGGTTAACACTGGAAAAAATTAGGATGCAGGACCCTACAGTTACTAAAGTCAAGCCACAGATTTGGCTCTGTGCTTCCTGGCAGCCAAAGCAAAAAGAGAAACCTGATCAGTTATAAATTTCCAATTGTCCACCAAGAAAAATCATACCAGTTCCTCGGGAGAGGCAAAGCTTTTCCTGGCTCTCTGTTCTGAAAGAAATTTCTCCAGTTTACTTCTTAAAGGGGACATTAAGTGAAGTTGTAGATAAAGTCTTCAATAATATAAACCCTTATAAGAAATACAGTAGCAAATTATATGAAGCTATTTCAGACACTGTCCCTCCATGAAAGCAAAGGGCAGGAGGGCACTGAAGTTCATCTTAGTAAAAACAGTTCTGAAGGGGCTGACCATGACATGGCCCAGGTATGCGGTTTTCACTCGGCCCAGCTTAATCCCAGGATAAAACTAAGACTGGCCAGAGGAACAGGTAGACAACATGTCCTTCCAAAAACTTCTATAAATATTACTTCTCCTACATGAGTGTTTATTAAGAGTTGAGCAGCAGTTTGCACTTAGGTGATTTCTAAATTCCATTCCAGTTCTGAGAGATCTAAGTGACATTTTGGTCTTCATTTACTTACACTAATTTAAGATTTGGTAGTTCTTCCCCTCTTACTGCCCACTCCCAAATCAATGAAATGGGAATTCCTGCCAGTCAGAGAGAGGGGGAATCTAACTATTAATATTAGTGTCATTATTAACAGCTTATGTGCCAGGCTGTGCTGGGTTTCTCCTTGCATTCTCTCATTTAATCCTCCCATCAATCCTGTGTGATAGTAACTATCATTAGTCCCATTTTACAAATAAGGAAGAGATTTAGAGAATTTTAACAAATTGTCCAAGGTCACAGAGCTAATTATCCAGATCTTTCTGGTTCCAAAGCCCAGGCTCTCAGCCCTACTTATAGTGCCTCCTAGTATTAATGAAATGTGATTACTGGTAGAAATGCTTATGGTTGTCAGAACAGTGAGGCCTAGAATAAGGCTACTAGAGGAGGCAGGAGTTGTTTACTAACAACAAAATAACAATGGAGCCTTTAGAGACGCTGGTGAACTATAAAAAGAATAAAAGGATGAAAAATACTGTGAAAAGCAGAAATCCCAAAAGAAAGTAATTCCAAGGGAACACTATCCCATCCCAGGAAAAGGGAGAGAAAAATTCTTTTCCTCTTCTTCTCTTGAAAATAAAGTATTATTTCCTACTCTTAGAGACTCTAAATCTTGGCTCTCTGTATTCATTCATTCATTCATTCAACCGACAGACATTTACCCAGTGCTACCCCATGCCCGGTACTGTCAGCAGTGAGTAAGACACAGAGGACCTCCAGCTTCCAATCTAGACACCAAGTAAGTAGACAATGTATTTCAAGATGTGTTTTGAGGGGCTGGCCCAGTGGTGTAGTGGTTAAGTGCTTGCGCTCCACTTCGGTGGCCCGGGGTTCGCAGGTTCGGATCCTGGGCACACACCAACGCAGCACTTGTCAAGCCATGCTGTGGTGGCGTCCCATATAAAGTAGAGGAAGATGGGCACGGATGTTAGGCCACGGCCAATCTTCCTCAGCAAAAAAAGAGGAGGATTGGCAGGAGATGTTAGCTCAGAGCTAATCTTCCTCACACACACAAAAAAAGCGTTTTGAAAAAAAATAAAGTTAACAAGATTAAGAGAGGCTGAGGGGCAGAGAAGGGAAGAGCTGTTCTAGATAACTGGCCAGGGAGGGACTCTGAGACCCAAAGGAGAGAAACCAATCATGCAAGAATTTGGAGAAAAGACATTCGGGAAAGAGGGACTACCAGCAGAAAGGCCCAATGACATAACCCAACCTTCTACCCTTTAGAAACCTCAGGAAAGCTGGTGCAGTTGGAGCCAACTGAAGCAGAGTGGACCAGGGGATGAGTTGCAGGAGATGAGGTGGGAGAAGTTGGGGGAGGGGGGTCGCCTGTGCAATGCCTACAGGGAAAGAAGTTGGATTATGTCTGAAGGGCAATGAGAAGCCACTGGAAAATTGTAAACAGGGAAGTAGCCTAATCCGATTTACTTTTAAACCCTCCAGGGCTATATTCACAGCTCCCAGGGAAATTCAGGTAGGTGTGATCCTTTAAAGACGCAAGTATGTATCACCTTTTGCTAAGGTTAATATCACTGAAAAAATGATCAACTCTAACAAAATACCTTTAGCCTGCAGGCCCTGGGGTTCTATCACTGAAGGCTAAAGTTCAACAAGATGTTTTCTTTTCCAGAGCTTTATACCTCTTCATGCTCAAGGAACACAATAGTCGGAGCACCTAGTGGTTTGGTTGACAGACCCTCGGGAAATGCCAAGAAAATTTACGAAGGAAATTGATCCTAATCCTCCATTTGAATCCCACCTGAACATTTCTTCCCTCTGCTTTTCCTATCCCAGGATATCCTTTCCTTTGCCATCCTTTTGCTGTTTTCCTTTTTCCATAGGCTCAAAACTAAACATTCTAAATGTGAGCTCCTTGACCAAACTGAACATTATTAAAGTTAATTTCAACAATCCTACAGTTAGCGTTCCCGTATAAGGCATACCTTTGGCAGGAAGTTGAATTTGCATTTGGATAATTTAGAGTTCTTCCTGAAGCTAAACTGCAGCTTTGATTAGTTCAAGGAAATTTCTTTTACCAATACGTTGGAACACAATTACTAAGATAGAAACATCTGACATGTGGATGCATCAGGTATGTGTGTATGTTTGGCCTGAAGGTAGAGATAGAGGTAACAGCATCAGAAACTGGATGACTAACAAGATCCACCTGCATACAGGAGCCGAGATGTCAGCACAGGAAAGAACCAGGGTGAGGTAGGCAAGGAGGTGGCAGAACTTGTGCCTCTTCTTATTAACAACTGTTGCCAGATAAGCCCCTGACTCCCCTACCCTCCCCAAACAAAAATAAAATCACCAGCCTGCCCTTCCCCCAGACTACACAGCCTGGAATACCCAGATACTAAACGAAATCAACCTTTTCTGCCAGCCAATTGTTAATATCCCACGCACAAGGGCTGTGTCGCTGCCTCAAAACCATTAAAATCATTAAAACAGTGAAAATTCACATAATCTGTGAATAGTACAGCAAACTCATCAGCACTACTCATGACCCCAATCCCACGCACCCAGAAATTAGAAACATCCAGCAGTACAGAACAGTGAACAGCAGCCGTCAAATGGGCTGGGGCTGGGACAAGGTGGCGTGGGGAGGGAGGGCGGCCTGTCTCTTATGGCCAAGGCTTCATGGCAGCTGAAAGCAAACAACACTACACCTTTAGACTTTTCAAAGCCTAGCCTTTGAAACTGGCAGATGAGTGAGCTTGGGTTTACATAGACTGACTAAGGCTTTGCACTTCATGTCCAAGTTGATGCCTTTCATTTTTCATTGCCCCCAGTTCCCACAAGATCAGGGTTTCTTATCAGCCACCTGCATCACAATCTCATGGCCCACTTAATAAAAATGTGCACCACTGAGCATAAACATTTCCAGAGTGGACTGACAAACTGCATTTTTAAAAACTACCAGGCCATCTTTACGCACATTTAAGTTAAGGACTTCTGCCCTAGAGCAGTGTTTCTTAAACTGTGGGCCATGACCTGTTTGGTCAAGAAATCAAATTAATGGGTCATGACCAGCAGTTGATTTTTTTTTAAGTAGAAAAAAATTATAAACAGAGCACACTGCAGGTAGTAAGGGCAATTGTTGTCTCCTGGAACTTATCGCAGTTGTGGGCCTCTGCACAGTGATGTAAAATGTATTCCTTATCGTGGATGCCACTCCAAGTTTGAACACCACTCTCTCAAAGGTAAGAAGGAAAACAGTATTCTTGTGCATGGTGTTTATTTTCCGTTTTCCACCCCTAACTCCAAGCTTCTGGGTTTTAGTTCAAGCACAGGATATCAAGACAGATGCCAGAAATGCTGTTATCAAATCTTAAACCGATAAGGCAAAGCCAAACTGAGGAGTGGGATGAGCCCAAGGCCTCCACTCAACTCCTGCCTGAGACCCTTATCACAGGAGCTGGGGATAAGGGACAGTGCCAAAGGGAAGTTTGCACAACTCTCCTCAGGCCGGACTGGTTCCTCGGTAAAGAACTTGTAGCCATTCATATCACAGTTCAGAAGAATGAAAATGTTCCTCATAGGGGGCAAGACTCAGCCACAGTATTAAGTGCTAAGGAAATGAGGGGAGGGATGGACAGCACTCAGGTTCAGCCGACCTCTGCAGTCCTGTGGCAGTGATTAGGTCCAAGGAAAGCCAGGGAAGGGTGAATCCAACTCCACTGATCACAAGGCCCTGAGTTCTCAGTACCAAGAGAGCTCTGAAGAGCATCAAGCATGTGAGGTCAAGTCCCACCCCAGAGCCAGTGACATGAGTTACCTTGGGCAAGTCACTTAACTTCTCTCAACTCCCTAAGCTCCTTGTGCTGCTAATGTTCTACAAGCAAGTGGTGTACAGGGAAGCAGACAGCTTCCCTTCCAGCCCAATGCTCTAGGACAGGGAGCCCTTGCACATCTTGCTGGACGAGAAGAGAGGAAGCCCAAGGAAAAACCGATAAGTAGCTAGCTGCCTCGTTGGCCCTTAGATTCACCAAAAGCAAGGCTCACTGAAACGAGCCTCAAGACTCCAGGAGAACAAACTGACAAGGAGGCCAGACAGCAAAAACCCCAGCAAAGCCCAGGAGCAGTTTCCTGTGCCATTCACAGCGGCCGGACTGTGGGAGGGTGAGCTACATGCAGAACAGAGGAAAACGGAGGAAACTCGCTCACTTGGCTTTTTAAGATCTTGTAAGCTGAGAGTGAAGTCAGAGGTGGCAGTCTCCTGGGCTGAGTCCAAAAGAACAGGTGGTTCCCCCCACCCCCCAACGGGAGAAAAGCCACCACTTGGGTAAAGACACCCAGAGGAGGTCAGCGGCCGAGGAGGGTGAACTTGAAGCAGTGAGAAGTCGGGGCTGCCCCTCAGCGCCAGTTCCTGGGAGGTGCTCGCTGGAGAGGCCCCTACATTCCGTCGGGCAGGAGAGAACTGGCGCCCACCCTCTTGGCAAGGACACTGGGGAGGCGCCGGGAAGCGGCCAGGCAGGAACTCGGCTGCGGTTACTTCGGCCCAGGCCGGCCAAGCGCTCCCGGGAGTGTCGAAGGCAGCCAGGCCCCCATAGGCTGGGGCCCCGAGGGCGGCACCCCTGGACCCAGTGTCTCCAGCGGAGACCCGGCGTCATCGGGGACAGAAAACGTCCGAAGCCCCCCACCCCGGCCCCCACGGAGTCCGAACCCGCGGGAACTATGCTGAGGAAGAAGCAGCGACCGGGTCTCCAGGTCCCCTCGCCAAACCACGCACCCCAGCCTTGCCCGACGCCTCGCACAGGTCCCGGGCCCCGATCCGGGTCCCCGCGCCGCCTCGGCTCCCTCGGCGGGCAGCCTCTGGGGCCCGGCAGTGTTTGTAAACAAACCGGTCACGTGGCCCCGGCGGCCCGCTCCCCGCCCCCCGCGCCCGCTGCCCCCACGGGGACCTCACGCCAGACCCCGCGTCAGCCGCGCAGGGCAGAGGGCGCCGCGCGCTCCGCGGAGCGGGGCTGAAGGGGCCACGGGACCGGCGCCCAGTGCCCGGCGCCCGGCGCCGGAGCTGACAGTGCGCCCCACGCCCACGCGCGCCCGGCCCGCGCCGCGCGCCCGGCTCGCTTACCCGGCAGCAGGCTGCCCCGTCCGGCCAGCGCAGGGCTGGGCTCCGCGGGGGTGCGCAGCAGCTAAGGACCGCCCGGCTGGATCCCGGGCTCCCGGCGCGCTCTTAAAGCCACAGTCTCCGCCACTGCCGCCGCCGCCACTCCGCATCCCTCCGGGTCGGGGCCGGGGGCTGCCCTGTGACGGACGCGCCCCCGCGCCTATCCCCTCGGCTCAGCACATAGCAACACGCCGCGGGTTGGCTCGGCACGGCCACAGCCCATCCGCACCGAGCCAATCAACGAAGGACGGAACTCCACCCCCCTCTTCCCCTACCTCCCACCCCCCCCACCCCTCTGCCCTGGCCCGGCTTGGGTGCGGGGAGTATAACGAGTCTGGCTCGGGGAGGCTCGGCCAGCGGAGCCTGGCTAAGCAGGGCAACTGGCCGGAGAAACAAGGAAAAAGGGTGATGAGCATGGGTGGGTTCTGAGCTCCTGGGAGGAGACCGCTTATTTGGGTTTGGGGTTTGTCCTCAGGTCAAGGCTGGGATTCCCAGAACCTGGGAGAGGCTTTATAGTGCTTCTACTTGGAGGGCCAAAATAGTAACTCCCTCCTTACACCTTAGCCATCCCTAACCCGGAGCCCAAGTTACCTGAAGAGGCCCTCAGGACCCGGGACAGTTGAATTGAATAAGATAGTGCCAGCCCGACCCAACCCAGCCAGGCCCGACTCAGAAGCAAGGCATTTCCCCTCCTCTCTCTCTTCTGCCAGTAATTTCGGTGAGTTAAAAGCAGGAAGGGGGCCTTAGGGGGATTGGAAGATGCCCAGCCCCCTATTGCTGCTGATTTTCCGAGGCTTTTAGGAGATGAGGATGGTTAGCTCAGGAGAGTAGGATGGTCAGTGACCAGAGGGGAGGAGCCCACGTTCTGGGTCAGTGGGGTGGTGCTTTTCAAGGAAGAGAAGGTTAAAAAATAAGCCCAAGGCAGTCAGGAAATCCATGGAGGCATCAGGTGGGTGGAGTGAGGCTGTCTCCCAGCAGGAAAACAGGTCAGTTTGAGAAAGAATACTGACAGAGTCAGGGGAAGAGAGCAGCCCAGCCTTTTCACTTGGGAGTGAGGTTCTGCAGTTCCTCAGAGAGCAGTAGGAAACCCCATGTTTTATTGAGCAGCTATCAGGATGCCAGATGCTTCTAGAGGCACAGCTGACTTCAACCCCTTTCCATACACTGGTTTGCACATAAACCGAGAATGGTACTGGGATAGATCCCCAGGTGGCTCAAACCTCACCCCCAACTCCACCCAGCTGTCTTTAAAATATATTTGATTCAGTTAACGTACATTGCATTCAAATTGTGTTCAGTTAATATACATTTTATGGTTGGATGTGAATCCAGTCCTAATGTTAGTAAAAACAACAAAAATACCTCAAATACATCAGTATTATACATGTGTGTCAGTCTTAAATTTGCAGTTTCAGTGTAAGCAGGAGCATCATGTCACTGTTTTGTGTGTGTGTGTGTGTGTGTGTGTGTGAGAGAGAGGAAGATCAGCCCTGAGCTAACATCTGATGCCAATCCTCCTCTTTTTTGCCCTTCTTCCTCTACTTTATATGGGACATGCCACAGCATGGCTTGACAAGTGGTGTGTTGGTGCGCACCGGGATCTGAACCTGCGAACCCTGGGCCAAGCAGAATGCACGCACTTAACCGCTGCGCCACTGGGCAGGCCCTGTGTCACTGTTCACAATTGACAAACTTGGAAAGTCTAAAACAAAAAAAAAAATGCTTTTCAGGTAAGAAAGAATCATGAACAAGAAAGGCTTAACACTTAATCCTTAATCTAAGAAGATGTGATGGATTCCTTAGATTATCAAGAGCTTAATTTCTAGCCCTGATCTGCTTCTTGGGCAAATTTCTTTGTCTCTCTAGGCGTTGGTTTCCACATTTTAAAACAAAAGAAGATTGAAATAAGATGATCTCTAGGGCCGGCCCTGTGGCTTGGTGGTTAAGTGCGCGCGCTGCGATGCTGGCGGCCCGGGTTCGGATCCCGGGTGCGCATCGAGGCACCACTTCTCCGTTCATCCTGAGGCCGAGTCCCACATGCAGCAACTAGAAGGATGTGCAGCTACGACACACAACTATCCACTGGGGCTTTGGGGGGAAAAAAAAAATAAAAAATAAAAAGAAATAAGATGATCTCTAAAGTCCCTTCCAGCTCCAAAATTCTAAGTAGAGCCAGAAAATCAAAATTGTTACAACATTTTAGCAATATTCTCCTAGTGAATATTTGTGCTGCCAGATCACCACTCCCAAACAGTAGATGCCGTGTTAGTTTAACACCCTAGGATATCGGTATGTTATGTAACAAGATTGGTGGCTACTGTTTCTGTTTAAATAAAAGATAATGTTAGCTGAGGAGGACAAGCCTGGTGTAGTGGTTCAGAGGGAGATCTGAGGACCCCTGCAGGCGTGCTGTGTGTATACAGGGGATTGGAAGAGACAACCTGACCGCAGGACCAGAAGACAATAGAACCAGCCAGCCACCCAACAAAAAAATATTTCATAAACCTGATCAAGCCTCCTCCCAGTTAAAAGAGCCAAGCATTGTGAGTTGCTAAGCGAGGAAGTAGAAGTAAAACAAAGTAATAGGTGAAATAAAGTAGCAGAAGTGACTTCTCTTCCTCTCTGAAAGCAAGCACCTCTAATTGCCCCTCAGTACATATTTACTCAGTGCCTATTATGTGCAGAATTTCCTGCTTGACTTGGATGATAGTACTCAGAAGAATCTACTGAGAGGAGAGAAGCTGAGGCCAATGGAGAGTGTGTGTGAATAGACAGATATTTAACCTGTAGGGCAAAAAAAGAGATGGAGAGATGTAGGGAGAGATGTAAATAAATTTGTTCAGATTTAGCCAGAGGGCTGGGCTCTTTTTCTAAAAACCCTTGGCAGTAAAAGTTTGAGAGGTTCCTGGCCTCAAAAACAGGTGATCAACCTTGCTTTGTCAGTGGCACAGCATCGTTGTCTCCTCTGTGTGAGGCCAAATCCATTCATTCCCAAAGCCTTCACAGCCATTCTTTTCCAGCATCCTCTCTCTCCAATCCCATGTTCCTACTGTTGCCACACTGACATCACTACTACCGGGAACAAGGTCACTTTTACGTGCTCATCTTATTCAACCTCTTGTAGCATTTGATATGATTACATCTTCCTTTCCCTCACCCCCACACCAATCCATGAGCAGCTCCTGTCAGATCTACTTCAAAAATATGTATTTGCTCTGAACACGTCTGTCTCTGCTGCTACAACCCTAGTAGGAAACACCACCATCTCTTGCCTAGAGTAAGCAACAGCCTCGCAGCTGATCTCCCCACTTCCAATCCATTCTCTACACAGCAGCCAGATGGTACTTCTTCAAACAAACTCCTTATGGGAGCCCACAAGTTCCTGCTAACCAGGCCTGCCAACCTCTCTGATCTTCCCCATGGCTCCTTTTCTCATGCTGCTCCAGCCAGGCTGGCTGCCTTTCTGTTTCTCAAATACACTAGGCCTAGTCCTGTTATAGTGTTTGTATTTATTGTTCCCTCCACCTGGAACACTTTGCCCCCAGAAGGCTGCCTCCTCGTCACTTGGTTCTCAGGTCAAATGCCTCCTCCAAAGAGGCCCCCCTGACTACCCAATCTTACATGCTACCCCAGGGTACTCTCTATTATACCTTCTCCCAACTTATTTTCATCATAACACATATCACTCTCTGAAATTACCTTGTTCATTTATTTATTTGTTTTCTGTCCCATCCAGCTCTAAAGTGTCAACTCCAGGAGAGAACCAGGGACCTTGTCTGTCTTACTTCCTGTTGTATCCCCAGTGCCAAGAACAGTGGCTGGCACTCAACAAATATTTGTTTGTGGAATAAATAACGGAACAAATGAATGAATATGCTGACCACCTCCCACCCTTGTCCTTGTAGTTTCTTTCACTTAGAATGTTATTCTCTCCTTCATCCCCCTTTCCTCCCCCTCTGTTCTTTCCTCTTCTCTTTCCAACTCAAAGCCATTTGCTTGATGACTCAGTCCAAAGATCAGATCAAATGTCACTCCTTTGGAGGAGTTTCCCCTAACCTCCCTTAAAAAAAATTAAATTTTCTCTTCTCAGTACCCTCAGTAACACTTTATTCATAGCTCTACTGTATCTCTCAACACTCTGCACTCCCTATTAAGCGCTATCAGTTACCACCCCCTCTGCCAGTTCCTCCTGTGCTGGAACCTTATCAGATCGTCTTTGTATTTTCAGCACCTGGCACATGGTGGCCCTCCCCCAAGGTTTATATCTGAGTTGAATCCAGTAGGGATCCAAGCAGGAATGGACAGGTTCTGTCCTCAGAGTACACTGATCAACAGATAGCAGTCTTACTTTGTAGCATGACAACA